TTCTGGAATAAATTTAATGTGATCATTTCATGATAGATACAAATACAGATCCCATAAAAGTTTTTCAAGCCAAAAGTATGGACATAATTGCAGCTAGCTAAGTTAAGGGCAAATTGGTTTACTCTCTGACAACATGGCAGTTTTACAAGCCCTGAATAATAATGTAATAAGACAATAGACAAAAGGCAGTGGATCTAGTGATAACGGCACTTTGGTCAATCAATCATACAAACTTAAATAAAAGTAAAATTGGTAATTACACTTTCACATAAGTTTGTATGATTATACACTAGACATATACACGCATAACTAAGTAACCATATGTAATGCAGGCAATTTAGACTCTTTCCAACATCAGTATCCTAACAATCTAGTTTTACTTCATTCAAGCTTTAACTATGGTAACTATGGATTTGATTTCTTAGTCTCACTTACATAGACATCAAGTTTAATATTACATACTTGTGTTCAGTTTATATTAGAAGTGTAATTGTAAAAGTATACATGTGAATTAAATATTTTTATTTATATACTTATTACAATTAAGTAACATTTTTAGACATTTTATAACGATATTAGACTACAGATTATTTAAAGTTAGTATTACATATTTATGAAAAGGAAAACATTTTATCCTACTATCTGGGGGCACGGCAGTGCCCCTGCCAAGTTGAGCAAAAAAGCGGCACGGCCGTACCATCCCTTTCTCGAAGCAGTTCAGGCCATTTTCGAAACCCTATAACTTCGTTGTGGATAAAACGAGAAGCCTGAATTTTCAGTAACCCAGTAAGCATTGTATAAACTTGGTATATTTCAAATTTCATTAAATTTGAACCAGTAGTTTAAGAGTTATAACTAGTCAAAATTTCTTAATTTTGTCACTCACTGACTGACTGATCATCAAAACTCTAAGGCACTTCTAGCAGACAGAAGCTTCAAATTTGGAATACAATTATTGTTTAGTATATAAATCAAGGAAACACTAAAATATTTTGCAATTTCGGTCCAGTTTTCGAGATACACCAACTGCATAAATAACATTGTAATCCCATATAAATATATAGGATTACAAAGTTACATTTGCAGTGAATGAATCAGTGTACCTATATATGTATAATATAATGGAATAATAGGTGTAGATAGATACCTAGATATAACTATCTACAAAAAGAAATGAGATTCCACCAAAAACATAACTTGTAAAAAAACCAAGTCTCGCCACTCAGTTCTTCTACCGTAAAAATTTGTGAGATCCATGTAATATCAAGTCTGTTAATTTATTCAGTCCCTACTTAAGGGTCCTTCTGTCTTAAGTTATAACGTAATTAGCTAACCTAACGACATCTTATAGTGACCATATCACTATTAAAAATCTTTTATGTTTTAAATAGATTGACTTGGCCATCGCATGAAAACACAATGTATCTCTCAAGTAATACATATTACATTAAATTAGATTGTTTAGTTACGTTAACTTTACTAGTTAAGTCAATAATTGCCTTGGGTTGGTTGGTAGACATCCGGTAATTGATTTTATTTGTTTTCAGTTTAGGTGGCTTGTTAGGGTTATTAACAACCTTTATATAATGTTTTTGGCTTTTTGGATGTCGGAAATGCGTTTTGTTTCAATTACGATAAAGATAAATTTCACTAAAAATTGCGTATAATGAAAAGCAAATATGTCAATTTGCACTAGTATTATGAAGTAGGCGTCCAGTACTTGATTTTAATTATGTTTTCAGTTTAGGAGGTTTGTCAGGGTTAAGCTAGAACCTTATATTGTTTTTGAATTACAGAAATGTGTTTTGAATTAATTACAATAAAAACATATTGCACTTACTATAACGATACAGGTCACCCATATAAAAGTTAATTTCTTATACCCAGACAATCCATTTATGGTGAAGATGGGACTCATACACAACAAATTGAGTCGCAGTGGAGAGCAGTCAGAGATTTTCAGAAAACAAAATTATATCAATTCACATTACATTGTTTAATTTACCACTATCATAGCATAGTTTAGGGCAACCTGACTTTATAGACAAGATATAAACTAAAACTGAATCAGAACGCCCAGACTCCACATAGTCTTGTCCGCCCTACCCTTAGTGTTTATGTAAAGCCATAGGCGCTTAGGGAGAGCTGCTCTCCCTCCGCGCTCAGGGCGAAGGGGCTGCACTTGCCGTAGCGCCCGAAGCGTTATAACTTTGAGTAAATATTCCTGTGTAAAAATGTTAGGTTATGATTTTACAAAAAAAATTATTACTCATAAACTATACATTTCCATAACGGGGGAAGGGTACTCAGGATTTTCCCTGAACCCTCCCCCTCCCACCCCCGTACGCAAGTACCGGATGTCTATAGTTTTACCATTGCCGTTTTAATCGGAAAATCAAAGAAGTATCATCAGCAAATAATACTATATCATGGTTTTTCCCTACCAAGTAAGGTAAGTCATTAATATAAACTAAGAACATAAAGAGGCCAAGAACTGATCCGTGAGGAACACCCATAGATACTACCGATCCGGAAGAACTGAATCCATTAATAACAACTGTTTGTGTTCTATTATTTAGATATGACATAATATGTTTAAATGCTATGTTTTTTACACCATAACAATGTAGCTTCCTGATTAATGTCTCATGGTGAACACAGTCGAAAGCTTTAGAAAGATCACAAAATATACCTAAAGCACCTTCTGAATTTCCCCATGCACAGGAAATATGTTTGATTAGCTCAACACGGGCATCAGTTGTTGAGCAACCCCTTGTAAATCCAAACTGATTGTTATGGAGTAATTTATTTACATTAAAAAAAAAACATTTAACCGTTTGACATTTACACTTTGTTTGAGTAATGACTTGGCGACAGTAGGGGAGGAATTAAGTGACTTTGTAGCCAAGATCGGAATGTCGGTAAAATATTGTTCAAAAGCCGTTGCAACTTCTTGATCTGATTTTGTCAAATTGTTGTTAAAATTTAATTGAAAGTTTGAGTTGTGTAGTTTCATCATTCCAGTTTCACTTTTGATTATACTCCAAGTCATTTTAATTTTATTAGAGGCATTCATAATCTTGTTTCTTAAATATAAAAACTTGGCAACACAACATGCTCTTTTAAATATATTTTTATATATTCTCTAAATGAAACACTATGATTATATAATCTTTCATTGTAAAGGTCACATAACTTTTGTCTACTCCTATGGACTCCTACTGTTGCCCACTTATTAAACTATTTGCGACTGTTAATAAAAAGCACACACATAGCAACACACTCCTTCCACTTTTCCAGCAGTCATATGACTGGCAAACGTGTAATTTCCAAGTTACCCACTCTTTGGATGAGAATGATCCTCAAGGACTTAAAAAAGTGCCAATAAAAGGATTCTAAAAAGTCAGTTTTATAAGCAACATGGGACCTATTGCCATAGAACCCACTTAGCCTTACCATTAGTAGAAGATTTGGAAACAATTCTTAATATGTATAGGTCGTAGAAATTAATGTGTATTCCAATTAATTTTATATTTACTCTAGTTCTATAAATGATATCTTTCTTATGTATTTTTTTCTATTCAGAAAAACTCTGAACATAGGTGTAATTTAGAGTGTTTCCACATGGCTTACAGCAAAAGATCAACATGTTGATCAACACATAGCTACAATTTCGTTTTTGGGACAAGTCAGTATAATATCCAAATATACAAAATTTACACTTTTCTGCACTTTGATTCTAGTGGTACCAAAAAATATACTTTTTAAAACATTAATACTAAATTTTATGAAATTAAACATTTTGTCATTTGACATTTCAAATTGTGTTTAGTTACAATTTATTACACTTTAGTGATTTTAGGATAAAAATTATTACTCAAGCATTTAGTTTTCTGCATTTTCATATCTTGAATCTAGGTTTCTTGAACTAAAGTTTCATATCTTTTCATTAAAATATGAACCTAAAATTCAGGTTTGCCGTTATTGAGGTAGACCCTTTTTAAGATAAAATTTTTCAGTATGATATTATATCGTAACATCTCTACATGTGTATTGTCTATCCCTTAAAATGACTTGACCTGAATAATGAATAGTGACATACCTCCAAAGTAGTCAAAATGAACATTAAAACATATTGGTTCTGAGATTTCTGTAGAAATACTAAACAGTGCTTCCATGAACCTCTTCCATTAGAAAAATTTTCGAGAATACTCTCTATTTCTCTCTTTCTGAAGTTATTTGTAGAAGGTGCAAAGAATTCTGACATCAACATTTCTAACGAGGCAAGTGCCTCATTTAGATCAAAGTCATCCTGTAAATTTATAATTACTTATTAAAAATAATATAAGAAAATCGAACTAATTTATTTCAATTTTTTGTTTAGGTCCATAAAAACGAAAGAGTAATAAAAGAAAACAAAATGTTTACATATAAACTTTCGTACCATTTTTATAAGACTTCTATGAAACCTAAATTACATAATTATGTATGAAAAATAATTATTATCTGCAACATTTAAAATAACTAAATAACAATAATCTTTAGACTTCAGCTTTAATTCACAATGTAAATGTGTTACTATTACAGAAATCCACAGACTACTTAGTGGATCAGAAATCTAACCCAACACCCGATCCGATTCGACCTAATAAACTGACAGTTGACACTTGACAACTGAAATGTCAAATGTCAACAGTCTGTAAGTAGCATAGATATATGAAGTAAGCAGTCACTGACTAACATCTAGGATCTAGGTATATCAAAGAAAATATAGGTAATCACTATAATATAATATTATACATTTATGCGCCCTTGTATATATAGAGGTCAGTGGATTTTGTGTTTGATTATCATACATACTGTGATGAGTTTTGTAAAAAATAAACCTGAATAGGTTGTATGGCCTCAGACTTTTGTCTCGCTTAAATTTCACTGTTTTCTAAAGTCTGTTTTTTTTTTAATAAAAGTGAGGTGAACGAATAAAATAATTGTCGTAAATAATGGATACAGAATTACAATCTTCCGAGCAACAGAATAGTAAAACCGAAGACCTTACTAAAACTAGTAATGATCAAGATGTTCTGCCATCGGGAATCGCAACACAAAGTAACGAAAATGATCCTGACCCTGCTACACAATCAGCTGTTGTAAAAGATGCTCAAAAACCTTCACCAAAGAAGCCTAAAAAAAGGAAACCTAAAGTTCCTCGGGATATGACCGCCCCGAGACAACCTCTTACAGGTGAGAATTTTTGTATTTATAAATTATGTCTTAGCACTGATTTCAGAAATTATAATGTGGAAATTATTATTTTTTAGTTCTTTGAAGTCGGCATTTACTTTTAAAACTTCATAAAAGTTTAATTTTTTATTCTTTCCAATATCAATAAAGTATGTAGAAAGTCAACTTGGCTAACCCTGCTGGACTTGCATCAATGGCTTTGTAAATTTATTAATTCGTTTTATTCATTACAGTCTATCAAAGTCTCCCTTGCCATAGTTTCTACGCTTGGCGGGTGGGTTGGTTAATGCAGTTTTATTGCACTTTAGTTTATATAGTACCTTATACTCATAATCACCAAACCATATTCGTTGAAGGTTATACCGATTTAGGCATCAACCTCGGCACATCCGGAGGATATCTCTAAAGCCATGCATTCCTCCAAAACCCATTAATGGGAGACTTCAATGCAAAACTAGGCACAAGAGAGAACAGTAAGCTGAAGGTAGGGAAATTTGGAATAGGATAACGGAACCCAAGGGGCCAGCAGCTGGCCGACTTCATGGAGAAAGAGGGAGACTCTTTATGATGAAGTCTTTCTTCTAGAAGCTGCCCACAGGAAGTGGACCTGATCAAGTCCCGATGGTTGGACAAAAAATGAGATTGACTTCATTGTGCCGATCAGACGACAACTGTTCAGTGATAGCGAAGGTGAAAAATGGTAGCAATCACCCAATGATTAGAGGCACACTGAACCTAAATGTTAAGTTGGAGAGATCTCGTTAAATGATGTCAACGCCTGTCCCCCTCATGTTCTAATCCAAAGTCCAAAAACCTTTCAACTCGAGTGACAAAACCGTTTTCAGTCCCTAGAAGACTGCAATGCAGTGGACGATATGAATGATAAGCTCGTGGAAACTGTCCATGCGGATGGAGCTAAGTTCTGCAAGACCCGCCACAAAAGAACACAAAAACTTTCCCATCACACTCTTAATCTCAAGGCTGTTAGAGGGGTAACTAGCCTGCAGTTTTCAGCAGATTTGACAGCACACAGGCAACTGAACAAACAGATCTCCAAGTGCAGCGGCAGGACTTACGCAACTTTAATACAGCTTGTATTGAAGAAGCGATCGAGCGAAACCAAGTCTCCCAAAGTCTGCCAGAAAGAGCCAACTGTCAAAGCTGAAGACCGAGTCTGGCAGCATTGTTTCCGGGACACCTGAGATTTTGAGTGAGATTGAGAGTTTAATTGGCAGTTGTACATGTCATCGATCAAGCCACACGCAAGTGTGAGTAACAATACGGTATAGTGTCGGACAAAAGCGAATCTTATCCAACACTATTCTGATGATATCCCGGATATCATTCTGAGCGAAATTAGAAGGCTCTCCATCACCTTAAAGACGGCAAGGCCCCAGGTAAGAATGGAATTACAGTGGAGCTGAAAGCTCGTGGAAAACCGGTATTTGAAGTCTTAATTCCATCCCCCATGGTGGGACTATTCCGGAGGCGTGGAGCAGAAGCCCAGTGGTCTTGTTCTTCAAGGAATGTGACAACGCTCTCTTGAAGAACTACAGACCGATTTGCCTTCTGAGCCGCGTCTACGTGCTGTTTTCAAGAGTCATTACTAATCGTCTTGCACGCAGACTCTGCGAATTTCAGCCTCCCGAACAAGCGAAGCGAAGAGGCTTTAGTACCATGAACCACATACACACACTTCGGCAAATTGTACAGAAGACAGAAAAGTACAATCTACTGTTTTGCCATGCGTATGTGGACTATGAGAAAGCCTTTGAGTCTGTCGAAATTTGGACGGTACTACTGTCTCTTCAGCGGTGACAAGTTGACCGTCGGTATATCGAAGTGCTGAAGTTATTGTACAGTAGGGCTACGATGGCTATCTGAGTATAGAACCAGAATACACAGTAGAGCCATGCTGCAGCTATATTACTGGCATAGTTGTTGCACGAATGGGTCGGCTCGACAGGGGAAGGACCACGCTCTCACAGAATACCAGTGTAAAATAGCAGCATAACTCTGCTGTGTTTCATATGGTGAGTGTAGAGAATCGGAGACCCTTTTTTACTGGAAACGAGGCATCCCATCTTAGTCCTCACGGGTGACAAAGCATCTGCATTTTGGTTCGTAATTGAGGATATATGTAAATGTCTATGGGCCACAGCAACCATTTACCATCAGGTGGACTGTGTGCTCGTTTGTCACCCTAATTCTATAAAAAAAATGAAACCTATCCAACTGCAGAGAGGTGTAAGACAGGGTGACGTTATATCCCCGAAACTCTTTACCACTGCATTCAAAGACGTTTTCAAGCTTCTGGACTGGAAAATGCTCAATGACCTCAATTGTGTCTCCCAACGGGTAAGTCTTAAGATGAACATGGACAAAACAAAGATCATGTTTAATGTCCATGTCACACCTATCTCGGTAGTTGTTGGGAGCACTAAGTTCTATGTTGTTGACGAGTATGTTTATCTGGGATAAATAGTCCGACTAGATAAGTCCAACTTCGACCGAGAAGTCAATCGACGGATTCAACTCGGCTGGGCAGCGTTCGGGAAATCGCGACACATCTTCTCGTCAGGTATGCCTCAAAACCTGCAAACGAGATTGTACAACCAACATGTGTTGTCAGTGATGATGAATCTGAGACGTGGTCCTTCACTGCAGGCCGTATGAGGACGCTCAAGGTCGCTCAGCGAGCTATGGAGAGGGCTATGCTCGGGGTTTCTCTGCATGATAAACTTCGAAATGGCGATATCCGCAGTAGAACCAGAGTAACCGACATAGCCCAACGGATTAGTAAGCTGAAGTGGCAATGGGCCCACCATATAGCTCAGAGAACCGACAACCGATGGGGAAAAAGGTTCTTGAGTGGCAACCTCGTACCGGTAGGCGAAGTGTAGGGTAACCCCCCACTAGATGGAGTGAAAACCTGGTAAGACATGCAGTAATTCGATGGATACATGTGGCTCAGGACCATACTCTGTGACATTCCTTGAGGGAGGCCTATGTTCAGTAGTGAACTTGTGAAGGGCTATAATGGTGATGATGATGATGAAGATGATGAATAAAGGTGTGGTGTCCATTTTTGCTTTTTTATCGCATGTACATTGAGGAGAGTGATAAAAGAGCCCGCCTTATTTCAAAAGGAGGCAACAAACCTACAATCCCTCAGATGATACCCTAGATGCTCATGTGTGGCTGTGGTTACTTACTATCAAGTAGTATATCATTAAGTATTTACTCGTTTGTAAATAAAAAAATATTTCTAGCGTTTCGCCGGCCGCTGCCCCTTGCAAGCCATTGCCGTAGCACGGGCAAGTTGTTAATCAATGTACATATAACACGTCACGTCATGGAATGCTACCAGTTAATAATCTGCCAGGGTACATGATCTATCTAATAATACGATTGGCCCATGGACAAATACAAATGTTTGGCTCCAATTAAAGTAAAACAAATCATTTTATTACATATCTATATTTGATCTAAAAGAAAATTCTAAAAATTGTTATATATAAACACAGAACCTGTAAATTTTCTTCTTTAAATATGATTTTAACTAAACAAATACAACTACTCGATTTTAACATGTCTGTTAAGTCTCATGGTGTCAGTCACTTGGACTTAAAGTGAAGAGACAGTACGGGACTTATTAGCATCTTAACACTTTCACTGTTCGATTTGCAGACACAATAGTAAGACAATATAGCAATTATCCATAATATGTGGGTCACGGGACAGTGAGTGTTAAAATTAAGTAGCATTTTAGCACTTGGGCATAAATAAATAAAATAGTCGATGGATTTGTTGGCTGGTGCAAATTTGTAAGGAAGACGCCAAAAAAGTAATATGAGGTTGGGAAAAAAGTTTCTTCATATTTTATGTTATACAAATTCAAGACATTTTTTTTTCAAAATTTAATTACATTTAATTATAATATTTATGTGCCATTTTGTTCGATAATTTGCTGCCATCTTGTAGGTAGTGACATAATCCCACTGCTGTAGAATTCTTGGGATTTATAATTAAAACAATGTGACTAGTAGTTTTGACAGTCCTTTCTTGATGTTAACCTAACAAAGAATTCTGAAGAGACCGAAACAGGTGAAAATCTGATGGTGCAAGGTCAAGACTACAACTTAACACTTCCTAATCAAACTCTCTCAATTTTTGTTGATTGGCCCAAGATGTGTGTGATCTGACGTTATCATGATGAAAGGCCACTTCTTTTCTGTTGATTGATTCTGGCCGTTTTTCTCAATTTCTTGCTTGAGTCTCATTACTTGTTGGCATTAGAGATCTGAATTGATGGTTTTGCCCGACGGTAAAAGCTCATAATAAACAATGCCCTTCCAATCTCACCTTACACAGCATCACATTATTGCGTGTTAATCCTTGTATTGCTACAGTCTGTGGAGCTTGACTACCCTTTGACCATGAACTTTTTCGCATGTTCGTGTCAGTTGGTGTCGGTGATCCACATTTCATCACCAGTAATCAATCTTTTCATAAATGTTTCGGTTTCATTATGTTACAATAGCGAATCGCAAATGAGTACACAATTCATTAGGTTCCTTTCAGTGAGCTCGTGTGGTACCGACATATCGAGCTTTTTTGTATGGCCAGGCTTTATGAAACGGATCAAAACTGTTTTGTGGTAAATCCTCAATTCCTCAGTTATGTCGTAACTACTAATGTGCCGATTTTGCTCCACTTTTTCAAAATTGGCATCAACTTTATCTGTATGAGGGCGACTAGAGCTAGCTGCATTTTTGACATCAAAATTCCCAGACTGAAAACGCTTGAACCAACTTTGTGCTACTCTTACTGACACTGCATTAGGTCCATAAACGTCACAATTTTTTTTTTTGCTATAATTGCTTTTTTTCCTTTTTTTTGTAATAAAACTTTAGAATGTATCGAATTTCTTCGTTAGATTCACTCATTTTGGCGGACAGAAAAACAATTGAAAAATGGCGAAAAAATGTTTTTAAATTTTTATTTTTTTTCTTATTGTCCTATTTGTATTGATATTAAAACAAGATCCAAAGAGTACAACCAAAGAAATTATTCTTCAATTTTATACAAACAAAATACGAAGAAACTTTTTCCCCAACCTATTAAGTAAATGGGTATGCAGAGCGCAGCACAGTTATGGAGGTTTATTAATTTAGTACACACACATGTAAGAAACATGTGGTCTAAAAGGCTAGAGTGGATCATTTGAATCTTGCCTTAAAGGTAATCTTCAATTAAAGCAGTTCCAACTTGGTGCATATTTAGTAGCCTTGAAAATAACTGACAATCTTCAGCTACTAGTAGTTGATTTCATCCGACCTGAACTACGGCCTGTTTATTGATCTTAAATCTTTATTTTAAACCTTAATAGCTATGAAATAATAATATTAAACATTTGTACAATTCATAACAAATTTTTATTCATTTACTTAATTTAATAAATTGAATATTTATTTCAACTTTTTAATTTAGCATTTTATTTAAGCTTTTGAATTTTGATCAGTTTTTCTATATATATTGGTGGGGATCAATGTAATACCACTGATTACTATCCACCACTACTACTTGCTTATATCCTTTGTCTTTACTAAGTGCTAAATTTAAGAACTTTATATCGGGCAAAATCTTAAATATTTTGATTTTGCAGGCTACGTAAGGTTTCTGAATGAACGCAGAGACCAATTGAGAGCAGAGCAACCAGAACTGGGATTTGCAGAACTTACTCGACAATTAGCTAGTGAATGGAGTAAGTTACCTGCAGAAGAGAAACAACAATACCTTGATGCGGCTGATCAAGACAAAGAAAGGTAATAATTATGAGGATTTAACATATTATGGTATTTAGAAAAGAAGTAACTTTAATAAAATGGTAAATGCAGACTACGAAGACCTAGAAAGAATAAAATTATTTCTTCATGAATATGAAGAAATAATTTTATTCTTTCTAGGTATATTCTATATACTATGTCTTGCATAGCAAACCTACAAGTAGGTATGCTATGCTAAGACATAGTATATAGAATGCAGTTCTTCTAGCACATACTTCAGAAGCTATTTAAATAAAATTTCTATTTTTCTTTGAAGTCTTCTAAAGTTTAATTTTTTTACCCTTTTGAGTGGACTTAGGAATATCACAAAGTCAAGGTAAAAAGTAGAATGTTTCTAAATAGTTATATTAAAAATATTTAACCCCCCATTTTACCACCTTTATTGGAGGAGTTCTTTTCTTAATATTTATAAGGTACCTCTGAACCTCTGACGTATCACCTATTTATTAAAAAATTATCATTATAATCGGTTTACAATTGATGAACAAAAGGTATCGATAAAGATAACTTACATAGTTACACGTTATCTTCGTCAGTTATGCAAACAAACACAAATAAGAAATTACAGTCAAATTGAGAGACTCCTTTATAAAATCGGAAAAAATGCAAAAAGGCAAAGTGGTAAAAAATATTTTTTAGTTTAAATATTGTTTTAATAACTTTATTATGAGTACAGGTAACTAAATACATTTTAATTATTTTAATGGATTTTTAGATATATCAAAGAATGGGCTGAATATAAAAAGACTGATGCCTATAAAGAATTTCGGAAACAACAAATTGAGCAAAAAGATCCAGTTAGTACTAGTAAAAAAGTTAAACAAAATCCTCCCCATGAAGGTAACCAACAAAATGGCCCACCAGGTGATGATTTTGCTGTTGTATCTTGATAACTAATATTAATATTACATAGGAAACTAAAATAATTAATTTTCTACATTATTATGTTTTAAAGCAACAACTCAGGCACCAGAACACAATGTAGTAGCACAGGCCACACCCACTATTGCAGCAAGGCAGCAAACTCCACCGCGACCCAGACCGTGCATCACCCCTGCTTCAGTAAGTTACCATTACCATTACAACATATTAAAGTCCACTGAATATAGGCCTCCCCCATAGATCGCCTCATAGGAGTATAGTTGCCATGCTTGTCAAGTAGGTTTGCAACGGCAGTTTTTTATTTTTAGTCGTTGTTAGGAAGATGCTGCTGCACCTCTTCTGATTTGTTTCCGTCTGCTCCCACTTTAGTTGCTTACTAAAGTAATTCACAAAAAATGGGAATACTACAGACTTCTTCAAATTAAAATATAGGTATGCTAGCTGCTTGTGTTTCCCATAAATAATTTATGGATGACTACATTGAAAACCTAATTTGAGATAGAACGCGTTATTCTCGTTGGAAAACTGGAATTTACTACTAATCAAAAATTATTTTCACTTAAAACTAGTTTTTTTTTTTATAGGAGAGGGGCAAACGAGCATGCGGCTCACCTGATGGTAAGTGACTACCGCCGCCCATGAACAGCTGCAACACCAGGGAGGGAATCGCAGATGCGTTGCCGGCCTTTTAAAAAGGAGTACGCTCTTTTCTTGAAGGTCCCTATGTCGTATCGGTCCGGAAAAATCGCTGATGGTAATCGATTCCACAAGTAAGTCGTACGAGGAAGAAAACATCTTCTAAATCGCACAGTGGTGGACCGCCAATCATCCAGATGGTGTGGATGTTATCCGGAGTTCTGCCGCGATGTGCGTTCGTGAAATTTGGCGGCTGGGATTAATCCGAACAATTCCTCAGAGCTCTCCCCGTGGTAGATGCGAAAGAAGATGCAAAGGGATGCAACATCTCTTCGCAGTGCCAATGAATCGAGCCGATCGGAAAGGACTCTGTCGTCGACGATTCGAGCCGCTCTGCGCTGGATGCGGTCAAATGGAAGGAGCTGGCACCGGGGGGCCCCTGCCCCCCGGTGCAAGCTGGGATCCAGATGGGAACAGTATTCCATGTGAGGCCGAACCTGCGCCTTGTAAAGTTGCAGGAGGTGTGCCGGCATGAAATACTGTCCCGCTCTGCTGAGCACGCCAAGCTTTTTAGAGGCCAATTTGGCCTTCTCTTCCAAGTGACCACGAAACTGCACGTCACTCGATATGTCGACTCCGAGGATTCCGATATTGGCTGAGGCAAGAAGGGGAGTGCCTTGAAACTGAGGAGATACGACAAAGGGGTTCTTTTTAGCGGTAAACGCGCAAACTTGTGTCTTCTGAGGATTAAACTGGACTAGATTTAGTCGCCCCCAATCCGAGACTTTGTTCAGCAAAGACTCGACTTCAGACACAAGTTTGTTCCGGTACTCGGTGACGTTTTCCCGAGAAATATTGCCACGGCCGGCGTATAGAGCATCACCAGTGCTGTCATCCGCATAGCAATGAATGTTAACAGTTAGCAACATATCATTGATATGCAGAAGAAACAGCATTGGTGATAGCACACAGCCTTGTGGAACACCAGCGTTAATAGGCTTGTAGTCGGAGCATGCACCTTCTACAACGACCTTGATGCTCCGATCTGCAAGGAAGCTGGTGATCCAATCGCACAATTTCTCGGGAAGCCCATAGGAAGGGAGCTTCAAAATATATATAACTTGACTAAACTGCCAAAACGGCAGCTAAGGTCTAATAAAGTCCGAATAATAATAATAAAAAGACCATGACTTCTGCTTACTTTGTCCATATTACGAAAGCATCTATCGATTAATAACAGGTAGTATTAGGTAGGTTAAGGTGTGGCTGTGTAATCCCTTAACAGGGAAGTACTTTTGAAGATTTATGATTAAGTTAAAAGTACCCCTCTATCTTTAAACTAATTTAATCTAAATAAATTTCTTTTTAGCAGTAAATTCTAGTTATAATTATAGTAAAATTAGTAGTATAGTAAAATTATTTTATCCGTGCAGTTGGGTCATAAATCATAGCTCGACCTCAGCCCGGCTAGGGCGGTGAGCATGTTGCGCGGGCGCAACGCCATTATCGATAACAACAAATAAACAGTAAATAGTTTTAGATTTAATTTTAAATATAAGTTATTATCTTTATATTTATTTTTAATAATAACTTGTTACATTCCAAACATTTGTATTTTTAGTTTTTTTAATACATAGATACCTAATTAATAATTTATTTTAAATCACTATTATTCTTATTTTCATAAATACGTTGTTTTATCTAAAATTTTTTCATTTTTATCACTAACCCACTTAATGACAAAACTAAATAGGAATCGATAACGCTTATCGACAACAATAATGCGCATCACTATGCTCGCCCATAAGGCCCGTGAGTGGGAGAGAGAGCGATGATTTATGACCCAAACTGCACGGATAAAATAATTCTAGTATAGTAAAAGAATTTCCTAAGAATTTCATTTCAAGCATTCAGTGAGCCGTGGAAGTTTAGGGTCTGAGCGCCCGCTATAAAATTTTACAGTACGCAAGCAAAACAGGTTCGATCTCCACCAGCACCAATAAATTGTTACTTACAATTTTATTGCTGAATTACAAACGTGAGGAAACCTGCATATCTAAGACATTATACAAATATATTTCGAAGACGCGGCGGGCATTTCCCATTTCCATTCCCATTCCTAGCAAGGAAGCCTGTGAGTCGTATCTCTAGGTTATAACTTTTAACTTTACCGTAAGAACTGGTTTTAACTAGGAAAACGCGTATTACAGAATCATATACAGTTTATTATGATTAAAATTACAGAGTTGATGTCGTATAGTATATTCTCTACTGATATCAATCAATGTGCATGCGGCTTAAACTTTAAATTGTAGAAAGTGAATCTTAGCTTTACTTTTATTGGCTGCAAGTTCGTAATGTTTTCTTTATTGATTTAATATTATATAATAAACATTTCATGACATTTTTTACACAGGGGGAAGAACTAATGGGAGGAGACACTGATATCCCTATATTCACTGATCAATTTCTCCAGCACAATAAATTAAGAGAGTCAGAATTACGACAGTTGAGAAAAGCTAACTCTGATTATGAGCAACAGGTAAGATTGATATTATTAAGTTTAAATATTATAGACTTTTCCGAAGCTGATAAAAAAGAGACGTCTGAAATATATTATCAAATGATTTAATTTCTTAATGTTGATTTACAATATTAAGTAGTATACGAGTAAATAATAATTTATTCCTGTCTACCTATCATCTAGGCTTGATGAAACTTTTCAATGTTTTACTTTCATTCAAAATAGAGTTGAAGGCAGTACTTATACATAAATGTATTTACAACGTTGACAAATTTTTACTGTAGAGTATGTAGAATTTAGAAGTTAATTTAGTTTTTGATTTGATTTTATTTTTGAACATTTATTATAAAGTTGGCACAAACAAACACAGGTTGGCATTTAGTAGTAATTTTTTTATTTGTTGCCAAAATCACATTTTATGCAGAATTTGTTTTGATTGACAATGATAATGTTTTTTATCTGGAGTTGAGTTATACAGAACAATAATAACTTTCATTGAAATAAAATGAAAGAAATACTAGAGGAGACTATTCATTATTCTTGGTAAAAACATACTAATTAAGTTATGGCTGACAAAGAATCGACTTTCATGGAAATATATGAACTAACACAGCTGAATGTCTATTCTTTATTTGATTACCAACCAACTTTAACACCAGTGGCTCCAACCTTTGTATGTAATGGGTCGTCTCTCGATTTGGTGGTGGAGGAAAAATGTAAAAAGTAAAGAATTTCTATAACATCTCATGTTGTACAATCGATTTATAATCGATTCGCTATCTAGAGCGCTGTTCAGTTCAATCAGTGCGTTGGTGTTCGAGCCTTCATTTTCTTCATCTGCATACAATTGTACTATAGTCACACCCTAGCCACTCTCGATGTGGCAAACGCGTTTAGTTACCTATCATACGCAAAAGAAAATATGTTTATGCTTCTCGTTCCTCTGGTTAAAACAAATGAAGCGTTTATTGAAATCCGGACGAAATGGGGTGGGGTCATAGAATAGAATAATTTGTATTCAATATACATTACATGTGTAATTCTTATTGAAAGTCATTTTTTACTTTACTACTGGTTCGAAAAAAAACCCTCTGTCCTGGGAAGAACTAGCAAGAAACCCAGCGGGATTTTTTAAAAAAATAATAATTTTACAATATAAATAATTACGAACTATTTACAAAATTTATTTTAGAAACTGCTTGGAAGAGACCACCTCATTCCCAGGGGTTATTATCAACCATGTATTCATCTATACTATAATAACCCTTTTTATACAGTTTCAGCTTAATAAAACATTTAAACTTGGTAATAGAGAGAACCTGTACACTTTCCGGGACCTTGTAATAGCGTATACATTGCCCCAAGAATGAATTACTGACTCTGTGGAGTCTAGAAACTGCCATCACTAGCTTGTGTTTGTTCCTAGTGTTTACAGAATGTACATCACTTTTTTTTACTAAAACTACCTTTGTTTTTGTGAACGTACATTAAATTTTCGTAAATATAATGAGAGGCCAAAGTTAATATATTTATTTCTTTAAATTTATATCTAAGAGACTCGCTCGGTTTTAGATTATAAATAGCTCTAATGGCCCTCTTCTGTAAAACAAAAATAGTTTCTGAATCAGCCGCATTTCCCCATAACAAAATCCCATAAGACATTATGCTATGGAAATAACTGAAATAAACTAATCTAGCTGTCTCGACACTAGTGAGACCTCTAATCTTTTTTACAGCATAGGCTGTAGAACTTGGTCTGCTTGCTAATTTGGATATATGGGGGCCCCACTGAAGCTTTGCGTCGAGAGTGATGCCAAGAAAAACAATGCAGCTAAATCGGCGTCCTATAAATATGCTAAAATGAAACGTTAAACTATTTTTCCCTTTCAATGTATTCTCCCTTAACCCTAATACATTTATTAGATCTATCTAATAACTTATTAATACCGTTTAAAAGAAAATATTTGTCTTGGGCGTCAAAATAGGCCGAATTTGTCAAATTCACTTCATCATCGTCGCAATTTTTTTTTCCCACGCAGTTCTTTAAGTTTTGGAAACAAATAATAGTCGCTTGGTGCCAGGTCTGGGCTGTAGGATGGGTGCCGCAGTTGTTCAAACTCGCACCGGTGAATGCACGGGCGCATTGCCGTGCAAAAGGAGTATGCCTTTTGTAAGCTTTCCTCTCCTTTTTTCTTTAATAGCTTCTTTTAATTGACCTAGTGAAGAAGCGTACTATTCTCCCGTAATGGAAACACCACGTTCCTTATAATCAATCAAAAGGATATCTTCTGTATCCCAAAAAATAGTCGCCATGATTTTTCCGGCCGATTGAGACACCTTATACTTCTTAGGACGGGTGTGCCTTTTTTATGCCACTGCATCGACTCTTGCTTTGACTCAGGTTCATAATGGTGAACCCAAGTTTCATCGCCAGTTACAATTCGGGCCATAACTTCCTCCCTTTGCTCTCCACAGCGGTCCAAACACTCGCGACAACTTAAGACGCGCTCGTGTTTTTAATGCGCAGAAAACATCCTCGGAACCCATCTTGCACACATCTTGACTTTAGTCATAGCAAGGTTTTGATCTAGGATGTTTAAAATGGTTGTTTCTGATATTACAACTAATGTTGCAAGCTGTTTTTTCTTTAGTCGGGCATTTTCCGTTAGTCTTTCAACTTTTTCGATTGTTTCTGGCGTGATAGCATCAATCGACCGCCCAGGTTGGGGTCGTGTTCAATGGAGTCTCTCCCTTGTTTGAAAAGTGCGTGCCATTTATAAATCATGGTTTTTCCAGGAGCGGAGTCCCCATAAACAGCTCACATCTCTTGAAAAATGGTTTGAAGTATCTTTCCTTGTTTGGTGACAAACTTAATGACAGCGCGATATTTAATTTTCTCCATAGTGGATAGTTTATTCCCGATTAACATGTTTACTTGTTAATAACTCAATAGTTAATGAGGCTGAAACTTGGTATATATACTAACAATGAGTCACTCCACTACATCCTACCTGGATGAGTAAACTCACCCTCGAAAATCCCGCCATTCCACGAACTTTTTGACCTCCCCTCGTATTACCTTTCTTAAATAAGTAAAACTTAAAAATTACAATAATGTTGGTCATTTTGTTTCGATTTGTTTACCAACGTAGGCTGTCCTCATACAATATGGTATGCAGATCAGTCGAGCGACAGATCCAAGTCCCTATCCGATTTGTCGCTGTCATCGAGCGATACTGTTGTTAATGTATCATGTGAGTGTGTAATACTAACGTATATTGTTTTTTATTGATGTATTTATTGTGTAAGTTTCGTAGTGATAGATGATTGTTTTTGTGTGCGCAATTTCCAACCGCAAAAAATGACAGACAGTCTGTACCGCGGAAATACGCTATGGCTACTCCCCTTCGATCCGCCGGTGGCCCGTGTTGCTCTATTGGTAGGGTGACTGGCAATTATCCACGTAGTATTTATAATTAGACGTGTCATTCATTCATTACTTGTGTCCCGATTATTCAAGTATTAATTCGTCTTACGAACCGTATCATTCGGTCAATCGTTCATACAAATGGATCATGTCGCGTTTCAGTACTTTGTGATTTGTGAGATCTGCTCGATAATGTCGATCTTCGGACATTACTATACTCTTTAGTCGTACGTCCTGGTCAATCATTTGATCCGGAACGTTCATAAATGTATTTGCATCATCAATACCAGTTGATGCAACCCGGGTCAAATGATCGAATGATTCACGATTGAGACATGTGTATGTATAACGAGTGATATTTTACAGAACGCAATACTTCAAAGACACGCGGAGGAGGTGAGCGCGGCGACGACGCGGCTGCGCGCGGAGACGTCGGCGGCGGCCGAGCGCACGGCGGCGCTGGTGGCGCACCGCCGCGCGCTCGTTGCCGCGCTCGTACACGCGCTGCACAACATCGCCTTGCCCTTACCTGGTAAAGTTCTCTATCAATATACATATTGTATTGTTACGAGTTTCGTGTTCGAGACAATTAAAAACTGCCGAGCGAATTACCAAAATTTACACTTTAATTACAAAGCACTAATTATAGCGTTCATAACCGGTTAGACGTGTGGGCGGTTAACGGGGATTGCAGGCAGTTTGTTACTACCGGCGGCTGGGTCGAGTCGAACAGTAGATTCAGAGCAGCGGTGCGGTTAATCCACGTATTTTGTAGGGACCGCTGCAGCGCTTTCTCGCGCGACCAGATTCAGTGGTGGTCTAGATTTAGTATTCGTGCGCGTTAAATTCGCTATTAGTGCTTGCTGTGAGTCGAATCGAGCCGCGTGGTTGCCTATAGCGCCGAATTCGTTAACGGATTTGTACAGCGACGAATATTTGTGTAGTCTAGAACATAAGACACCAGGTTGGCTAATTATTGAGAAGTTAGTGTTTAATTGTACCGTTGCGTTAAGCGCCTTAAAAGGTCGCGGTCGGTTTTCGAAGTAGTTTGTTGCGGAGTGAACGAAAGTGAACTTTGACCCATCAGTCGTGCCGCGTGTTACGTTTTTGATTATAATTAACGGGATTTAGTTGCGTCTTGAAGTTAGTTAAATGTACGATAAAGTTAATAGACTGACATAGTTAATTGAAGAAGCAAATAGTCCATTGCTGCCGCCGCTGGAGAATACCACGCCGGTGGGCGGTGCCGGAGTCAGCGTGGCTGCTGATTGAAAGGGCTAATTCAGGTTACACAGATTTACACTTCTCACACACTACTCACATTCACGACAATTACGCCTGAACGAGCCCTGGGAGCCTTCTTAGCCAGCGAACAGGTAGGTACTATTTATTCACCCAGCCTTCTCCCTGTTGTGTAGTAGGATAGGACATTTTCCATAAGGCCAGTTGGGCCCCGCCCTAGTTGTCCGTCGAATCTACCGCTAATGGGCCCCGGGATATTTGACCTTTGTAGGGACAGCTAGGTGCGTGAACATTTCTGGTAGCAGAGCGTGGTTGATTGATTTCCAATCACGCCCGGCCGTAATATTAATAAAACATAGTAGGTAATAAATACGTAGGTACGTAATATAATACGTACGTAATATTTTTTGTTTGTTGGCGGGTGGAAGAACTTTGACTAGGTAGATAAGGCTATCACGTAATCGGATAATTATCGATGGCGTATAATTATTGTAGATTAATTGTCGAAGGGTCGGTTGTTTGAGCGAGGCATTTGCTGATTAACTGTAGTGTGTACCTTTAATTGTAGTGTAATTTGTATTTAATTTAATAAATAGTAATTGTATTTGTGTAATTCGTATTTAACTTGATTTGATCGTACTTGTAATTGTTATTTGTTAATTTGATTTATATTTGAGCCGCGTATTAATTTGTATTTAGTAGTGATGCCATCGCACAAGCTACTGATTAGTCGCCTGAGGGCGGAGCTGCGCTGGGCTACCAGCGCCCATGCTTTGATAGGCCGACCGGATAGGGTCTATAACTTGAGTAAGCGGCTCGAGCAGGTCGATGCTCGAAGGGCCGCAGTGGAGGAGGCTTACGCTGAGCTCGAGGATTCGGATGTGGAAAAGGGAGTCCTGGACTCCTGCCTCGCGGACTACGAGCAGTTTTTTTCGCTCACGGACGAGTTGATCGAGGTTGGGGCCAGGTATACTGAGGAGGCGCGTGAAGCTCGGATGAGTGGCCTGCCCGAGTCCTCTCGGAAGCAGCCTCAGCCGGAGCTGTTGGGACGACTCCCAACTCTGGACCTGCCAAGGTTCTCGGGGATGCTTTCCGAATGGCTAACCTTCGTTGGTCTTTTTGACAGCCTAGTGGACGCCCGGAGGGACTTGACCCCGAGCCAGAAGATGGCGTACCTCCTAGCCTCACTGGAGGGAGAGGCCCTGGGCGTTGTCGGCCACTTGAGATTGTCGGACGACGCCTACCAGACTGCTCGGGACCTCCTAGCTGTAAGATACGCCAACGTTCAGCGAATTGCGGTCGAATATGTTAAGCAGCTTCTAAGCCTCCTGCTGCTTAATGACCGGGCCAGACTACGTCCAGACCTGGTGAATCTAGTCTTGGTGGCCTGTAATGCGTTGAGGCGGCTGGATTTAGCAGTGGACGAATGGTCCTTTTTGTTGCTCCACATCGTGCTGTCCCGTCTACCTCTCGACCTTCGGATACATTTTGAGGAGAGTTACGGCGGGGACGGAGCCTCCTATATTCCGCCCTTCAATGATCTGCTGCGGTTCTTAGAAGAGCAGTGCCGGCAGATTGAGAACGCGGCGGGCACCGTTGACGACTTATGAGTCGTGCCCAGTGAGAGGCGGAATCCGCCGGGCAAGTCGTCGTCAACACCCCCCCCCCCCCAAGGCCTATCGGAGCTCCCGCGAGAGGGCGTCGCTCCCTACCATCTTACAGCGGCCAGGGAGGCGCCCCCCTGCTCCTATTGTCGAGCATCTGATCACTGGGTGACGTCGTGCCCGAAATTATTAAGTAAGCCGGTTCCGCCAGGCGAACTATCGCCAGGGAGCGCCGCTGGTGCTACTCGTGTCTGGAAGGGCACCTCCAACGAGACTGCCCGCACCAGCGGCCCTGTCCGCATTGCCGGGGTGGTCACCATGCGGTTTTATGCCTGGGTGCAAACGGGGTCTCCTCTCTGGGCTCTGCCAGACCCTCGACCCCCACAGGCGGGGGCGCTCAGCCACGCCCTCTAACGGGCGACGCTCGGCGCTCGCCGGCCAGCCACCGGGCCCCTAGGTTTGAAAGGGGTCCCTCCGCCGACCAGTCGGGGGGTTGTTCCCCCAGGGGCGGGGGTGCCGTCGCCCCCCTTCGGCGTGTGGAGAGGAACTTGATGATCACGGCCACTCAGCAGTCAGCTAGACCCTTCTCACCCCCGTTAGCTGAGTGGCCGCGACTGGTGTACCACCTTCCCCCCTTTGATGGAGGCAGCCCTAGCTAGCTGCTGCCCTAGCTCCCACCACGGCCGCCTCCACTGAGCCTTTAAGCCGTCAACAGTCCACTTGTCAAACTGTTCTGTTGCTGATGGCCTCAATGAAGGTGTACAACCCTAGTGGCGACTGTTAGCCGCTCCCTCTCTATTGGATTCGGGTTTACAACGCTGTGTGGCCTCCACTTGGTTGGTGGGAAGATTAGGGCTCTTCGGGAGCGTTGAATTACGCTGTTAAGGACTATTAGATTTGGTTTGGTCGAGCACTTAATTAATGATGCTTTAATTAATAATAAAAATGCTTTGGGTTTTCCGCGAAATGTTTTCATATTTGTGGCGGTTGTGATTAAGAAGGCGAATTTAAATATTTGTACATGTGTTTTGTAATGTATTTGATCATTGTGTTTGCTTTGTTGAAAAGAAAATTGAAATTGAGTAACACTATTTGCGCCGAAGGAAATAAAAATCAATCCTTTCTTTGTTTTCACAATTTTGTTGGCATTGTCGGAGATATTTATTTTGAAAAAAAAAATTTTTTTTTTTTGCTATCTCTTATGTTTATCGTTTTGTTTAATTAGTCTGTTTTGTTTCTATGCGCATCGGTAAATTAATTTGTTTGAATTAATTCAGTAGTTGAACATTGATGCTTTGAAATTTGGTTGAAATATGAGCATAGGACTACGTGTCTAAAAGGCTAGCTAGTTGGGATATTATCAGATTGAAATCAGCTGCCGCACAATTGAGTAGATGATTATATGGTAGATGGCTTGATTAAGCCTACTTGTTTGAAAATTCATACTAAGGACTATCTGTGCGATTCGTCTGGCTCTCCACAGACGCCGTTCATGTGGAACTTGTGGGTGCTCTCTGCACTGAAGCTTAGGTGGCCACGCTGGGCCGCTTCGTATCGCGTCGCTGTTTGCAGACCTGATCCGGTCGGATTGAGGAACGAATCACAGGGGCACAGATAGGTGTTTGAAAGAGGTCGCCGGACTTCTGTTCAGTAATAGGACTTATTTAGGTGCTGCAATGTCCAGGAAGGGCATCCAGTGAAGGTTCGACCCTCCGGCTTGCCCACATTGGGGCTGTATTTTTGAGGCTGTGGTTAAGGTTGCAAGATCTGATGGGGTGCCTAAGGTGGCCTAGTTTGGTTGTAGATTCGGTCTTGCAACGTGCCGTCGCGACCCTGTCCCGCTTGCCGGTTTGCTCGCGGACATAAGTCTTTATGTCCGGGACGGGGGTTTGTTCGCGCCCAAACGCTGGTTTCAAGTTCTGACGCCAGAGGGCGCTCGGCTCGATACGGCGCGTTCATAACCGGTTAGACGTGTGGGCGGTTAACGGGGATTGCATGCAGTTGGTTGCTACCGGCGGCTGGGTCGAGTCGAACAGTAGATTCAGACCAGCGGTGCGGTTAATCCACGTATTTTGTAGGGACCGCTGCAGCGTTTTTTCGCGCGACCAGATTCAGTGGTGGTCTAGATTTAGTATTCGTGCGCGTTAAATTCGCTATTAGTGCTTGCTGTGAGTCGTATCGAGCCGCGTGGTTGCCTATAGCGCCGAATTTGTTAACGGATTTGTACAGCGACGAATAATTGTGTAGTCTAGAACATTAGACACCAGGTTGGCTAATTATTGAGAAGTTGTGTCGTGTTTAATTGTGCCGTTGCGTTAAGCGCCTTAAAAGGTCGCGTTCGGTTTTCGAAGTAGTTTGTTGCGGAGTGAACGAAAGTGAACTTTGACCCATCAGTCGTGCCGCGTGTTACGTTTTTGATTATAATTAACGGGATTTAGTTGCGTCTTGAAGTTAGTTAAATGTACGATAAAGTTAATAGACTGACATAGTTAATTGAAGAAGCAAATAGTCCATTGCTGCCGCCGCTGGAGAATACCACGCCTGTGGGCGGTGCCGGAGTCAGCGTGGCTGCTGATTGAAAGGGCTAATTCAGGTTACACAGATTTACACTTCTCACACACTACTCACATTCACGACAATTACACCTGAACGAGCCCTGGGAGCCTTCTTAGCCAGCGAACAGGTAGGTACTATTTATTCACCTAGCCTTCTCCCTGTTGTGTAGTAGGATAGGACATTTTCCATAAGGCCAGTTGGGCCCCGCCCTAGTTGTCCGTCGAATCTACCGCTGATGGGCCCCGGGATATTTGATATTTGTAGGGACAGCTAGGTGCGTGAACAGAAGTATTCGCTTATATCGCCAATTCATTATTGCCTCGGTCGCGGTCTATACCAGCCTTATTACAGAACCTTCTACTGTAGAAACATCTTGAATGTTTGATGAGTACATATCGGTCCCTATTGACTAGGTGTCGATAGTTCCAGAAAGTTCTGCCATGGAAATTTCTAGAAGGTTCTTGACTCTCCTAGTTCTGCTACTCGATACTGGGCTAGTGGTAACTACTGTCGTCGACGTAGTGGCGCGCAACAATATGTTGAGCCGTGCTAGCTCAGAGGCTAAGCGCTCGGTGTAAATTTCACAGTACGCAAGCATCCCGTGTTCGATCCCCACCGCTACTAATGAAATTGTTAATTGCAATTTTAAGTGCTGATTTACCAAATGCTCGACGGTGAAGGAAAACTCAGCATAGGACGTGTAACTTTACTTTATATTATATATGTTAAGGACCAATACACTGTGCTCAATCACCTCAATAGTGTCTCCCAACGGATAGATAGGTCTTAAGATGAACATTAACAAAACAAAGATCATGTATAACGTCCATGTCACCTATGTAGGTAATTATTGTTGGAAGCACTAACTTCGAAATTGTTGACGAGTATGTTTACCTGGGACAAATAGTCCGACTAGGTAAGTCCAACTTCGACCGAGAGGTCAATCTACGGATTCAACTCGGCTGGGCAGCGTTCGGTAAATTACGCCACTTGTTCCCGTCAGGTATACCTCAAAATTTGAAAACGAGACTGTACAACTAGTGCGTGTTGCTAGTGATGACCTATTGAACGGAGACGTGTTCTTTCACTGCCGACCGTATAGGAAGCTCAAGGTCGCTCAGCGAGCAATGAAGAGGCTCGGATTTCTCTTTTCTTATGATAAACTAAAATGTCTCTACCTACTTGGACAATTGTCGTGCCTACTTTCTGCTTACTTTGGAAGAACTTAGAGAAGTGCTACGTATGGGCTTGTTCTATAATATACTGCGTGGCTAGCTAGATTGGCCTGAATTAATTAATTAATTGAACGTATTTTTATTTAATGTTTCTAGGCGTCGAACCAGGCACACCACTCTTTTTAGAATACCTTTTCATACTACAAAGTACAGTCAAAACGTTGTTTTCAGCAGATTAGTTCACACCTACAACTCTCAATTTAAGAACATTGATGTTTTAATCTGATTAAGCCCTTATTTGTAGATAAGTTCAAAACTATGATTATAAATCTCCTTCTTTTTTGATTATAATACTCACCCGTACTACACCCGTATCTTCATTTCCTCCACTTATAAACATTTTCGATATTTTTTATCTGAGTAAGCCCTGATTTGTAGATAAGGTCAAAAGTATGTGACTGTTGCTGTTTCAAATAAAGACAATAAAATAAAAATTAAATACACTTGAGAGAAATAAAATCGCACATCCCTTGTAATTTGGTTTATTACTGATTTTTTTTTTAAATCTAAAGATATTGAGTACAAATCATTATCATACAAGCTTAGCTTTACAAAGACACACAATTTTAATTTATTAATTAATTACGTACTTAACGTAATTAAGGCTTGGAGAGGGAACACGCCTTATTAATAAACAATTTGATCAGTAATTTTTACTTTAGATTTTCATTCGTTCTTAAGCGAAATTGGGTAATTTTGCACGTATGTTGGGTTTTTTGCCTTAAAACCCCTTATGGGTATTTTTTACACTGAACTTTCAGTTGGTGTATGTTTTTCTTTTTCAATATTTATTCACATTCATGAAAAAAAACTGCCTTAGACAAAAAGTCAAGGTGTGCGATTTTATTGCTCTCAAGTTTAGTTTTGTAAATGGTTAATATAATGAGACTTAAAAAAATCTGTATACCGTTATAACTAAATTGCAGGTTATCCGCAATAATAACGGTAGAACTGAATTTTTAACCAACTTCAAAAAAGGAGGAAGATTTTAACATTTCTTTAGTAAGCAATTGTCCTTATCAAAAGGTCCTAATTAAAAAGGTTTATTTTCAATAGCGTAGTCTTTCATTTTGAGTACCTATAACCTATATAATCAAAGAACGCAAGCGCAATATAAGTTTTTATCAATCCAAACTCGAACTGCAAAAAATCTTAAAATTTGTCGTAAAATTACTTTCTTGGAGTGCAAACACAAACATCAACAAAATATGTTGTGTGACTTGTTACTTGTTGACAAGTTCCAAAACATTTCCAAGTTGTTTTTTAGTGCAATCGCACGGTGAGGTTAAATGTAGCAAAATAGAACTTACTCCCCTTCTTTGTGCAATGCAAAATATATAATCAGTATTATTATAGTGACAGTATTCGAACTAAACTCATTCGCAATTAGTAAGGCACGCCCACCGCATCTCATTTGCGTGGACTTATATTCTGGAGCTAGGAATGCTTCCATGTTTTATTTGCGTACACTGAGTTGCAGTATATGATGGCATGTGTTTGTAAGATTTCTCATCTGCATTAAAAATATGTATATTCTTACAATAAAAATATCTTGCAGGTGGATCCAGTGGTGCAACAGAAGCGAATATCGATGAATATATGGAGAAATTGCAAACGTTAGCCACGGAAAACAAAAATAACACATTTGTAAAACAAGCCCGTGATGTTTTGAACAGAGTAGATCTGCCTATTACATAAGTGTATCTTATTAAATATCATTATATATTTAACGAAAAATTCTTTTGTTTTAATAAGTTGTCTCTTTTTTCATAGTTTGTTCTTGGTAGTAAGAAAAATATATGAAAATAATGCCAAGTTCGGGATAAAAGACGATATAATATGTTGATGTTGTGGATGAGACAAAGAGTTACCATCTGGATGGTCGCCATGCTCTATAGCCCCTTACAAGGTATAAAAAAATACAACGTAATAGGTTTTTCGAAAGTGGCTTGTAATGCTTAATGCCGGTGCGTCGCCACCTCCAAGCAAGCGTTGAAACGTTTCGCGCATCTTCTTAATAAGTTTTTAACAATAATTACTATGTTAATTCTTAATAAAAACGCCAAGTTCAGGAGTAATAGACAGTACACACAAAAAACAATGATCAACATAATACTGTCTTCCAGCCAAAATTTCGATCACGATTAGCAGGACAGGATTATACTGCAGTAGTGTGAGCACAAGAACAGGTGCACTTTCTATTCTCTTACTACAGGGTTTTTCATTAACTATATCATCCGTGTGAAGCTGGGGCGGATCGCTAGTTAAAAATAAATTACACCTTATATACGTCCCACTGCTGCGCACAGGCCTTCTCTTATTTCATTTGCGCAAAAGAGGTATCTGAAATAAGAAATGGGCAGTAGCATCTTCCTAGTAACCAGGACCGGATCTATGTAAGGGCTTTTTGGGCTTCAGCCCAGGGCCCCGTGGATATAAAGATTAGCTGAAAAAGCTTCAAAAATGTTTATGGTGATATTATATGAGTTTTAGTGGAAATGAGGTTGACAAAGTTAATTTTCGAAAAGAAGCACGAAATTTATTTAATAAAGTGGCGACACTATTTTTTAGGAAGAAATTTTAGAGAGGATATTTGTGAAGGCAACAAATTATGAAAAATAATTATGTCATTAGTCAAGAGTTCGTGGGCAACATACGATACCAATCGAATCAGAAATTAAAGATATACGAGGAGAAAGCTAAAAATTTAGTGTGGGAGCAGAATAGTGACATAAGCAAGAGACGGTTTACTTCAAAGTTTTCAGATATTCTCAGTTTACGGCGCAGCAAAATTTAAAAAAACAAACACGCTAAACATTGCGTTGGATAACCTGTCTTGGATTTCGAATTTAAATAGGAGAAGCCGAGTCTATGAGACATAGTAAGAAACTCAAATTTTGAATGAATTTGCAAGACAATACTATGGAAAATATAGATCTGGAAAGTTTACTTAATATTATTATTATCTAAATGACGTAAACGAACATTTAGTAAATGAGTGCATTATGTTAAAATATTACTAGTCTAAGCTAGTCTAACACCTCTTGCAGTGAAAAGTTTAAGCTAATTAATGGAAAGAAGTTTGTTGATGTTTTCACAAATTGCTTTACTATCTTATAAATTTTTAAGCATGGCACTGCTCTATATGTATGTATGTATGATTGTTCTTTCTGGCGCTCTGGTGACCGAACGCATTTTAATGATTCTTACGTTAATCGATTTGTCTTAATCTTATTAGTGTTATAGCAACCAGACTCCTAAATTGCTTAGAAAAAATAAAAGTCGACGAACTATGTCAATGGTCGCTAGAGATATAGATATAGATCCTAAATGGTCATTTGAAATGAAAAATGGCTAAAGAAACGTAAATATGATTTATTGTATGATTTTTTAAGACTTAATTAATAATACCCCACGTATTATGTGGTAATGCATTATTTTAATTAGTTGTCATTCATAAATATCTAACGCAAACTATTATTCACGCACACATTCGTAAGGGTCGATTTGTTGGCCATAAAACACATTCAATTTGGAATAGCTTCAAATAAAAGTAAAAGCCTTATTTACTCGTATTTTAAAGATCTGCATTAACGGTATATCATTATTTATATATTTGAACTTATGTTTAAAACTAGCTGTTTCCCGCGACTTCGCTCGCGTGCTAGGGTTTTTATGATTTTGCGCGGAACCCTAATTATTTTTCTAAAGCAAAAGTAGCCTAAGTTACTCCTTATGAAATCAGCTATCTGCCAGTGAAAGTCCCGTCAAAATCGGTCCAGCCTTTTCGGAGATTAGCCTGAAGAAACAGACAGACAGGCAGAAAGACAAAAATTTTGAAAATTGTATTTTAGTTATAAGTACCGTATTTACTTTCATATGCATTTAGTAAAAAAACTGTAATTTTGACATTACAAACAGACACTTCAATTTTATTTATTTGTATAGATTTGGCTACCCTTTGCAAAATAACCCAGTATAAGCTTATGATGGGTATTGTTAGTATTTTAAGCAGTCGGAGCTTTTTTTTAAACAGTATTACAGTCAACTTGGGTAACTTTGAACAGTTTTTATACATTTTCACACACAGAGTAATAAAATTGTATGAGTGTAGATTGATTTTATTTCGTTAACTGTGTTCTATTAGTATTATTTACGAATTATAATGCTCAGATTAATTAAAATACGCATAAATATTCCCAAAATTGACGATTGAGATACCATTCAAAGTTATCATGAAATTAGGGTAACTTTGAACTCTTATTTCTGAAGACTAAAACATATAATTTTGGATTTATTTGGAGTTTGGGTAAAATTAAATGGTGTTTTTACTGAGAAAATAAAATTATGCTCTATGGCCAGTCGTTTGCAATATTTTTTTCTCTCTTATCACTTGGGGACGCCATATACGAACTGAATGTACCAAAAAGTAACACAAAAACAAAATTTTTTGTACATTTATAACTGTATTTATTTACTTAAATTAATTAATTGAAATTCTTATTAAAATACTATAATAGTTTGGCTTTCATTTGAGATAAAAAAAATGTGTGTTAGGAAGAAATTTATATAAATACTTTCCTCACAAAAATCTTACTCTCCCCACTCCATTAATAAAATATCATCTTCTACATATGTTATACCATTTTTCTTAGTAATTTGATGGTCTTTTACTATGCTGACGATATCCGATATTTTTACTTTTAATATCTCGGCTTTTGAAGGCCACTTCCAACCTCCTAAAAAGGATTTTTGGAAAGCTGAAACCATGACAGTCGCGGTCGACAAGTTTAGTTTTCGTATTTGTCCTAAGAACATGCTCCCCTCATTATTAAAAATACAATACGCATCTTTCACCAAGCCCCTACCAGAATTATTTTGGTCAGAGGGTGTTAAATCACTGATGGGTTCCACAACATATTCTTCTACAATAGGCAAATCCTTATCTTCCCACTGTATTTGTTCTTCCGACTCTCCAATTATATTATCTCCTGGGATTGTTATGACCGGTGGCTCAAACTCCTGTTCTTGTGGCGTAGATAAATTAACACCCATGTCGAGCATTTTATATAAACCTTTAGCTACGTCTGGAGAAGGTGGTTTGTGTATCATAGCCTCGACGAGGAACTCGGCGTATCCTCCAACATTTTGTGACATAAGTTCATTTTCATCACATTCTTCACCATGTTTAACAGCATCAACAACCTCGTTGTTTTCACTCTCATTTTCTGTTGACCATACTTCTCCAGAAGGAGTAGGATCCCCTGGTTTTTTCTTCTTCTTGTTTTTCGACCCATGGGCCTGCCACATTTTTTAGACTGCCTGGTTTCCACTTCATTTCCTCTCTTGTTTTTGTCTGTTTTTTCCCTTTCTTTATAATAATTTTCTACTTCTTCGGCCGAAACACTCTTACCTGCTACTACAGGTAATTGAAATTTATTTCCTTTCGTCACTGTATTCAGATCCGATTGTCTCACATTTTCTATATAATTAACAAAACTTTCACTAATAGTGTCGCTTATGTCCACAGTAGAGGTATATGCTGGAAGTTTGTTTAACACAGTCGCTGGGGACAACGGATACAAACCACAAATTTTAAATCCTGCTCGTAGATTTTCAGATGAATTGGCATTTCCATTTTGCAAAGTTCTTTTAATTAACTGGGCGAATAATGACTTCGGAAGAGCCAAGACTTTCTTGCCTCTGCAGGTTTGACGATAATCATTAAGAACTTTTCGCCAAGCTGACTTGACTGCCGAAAAATAGCCTACATCAAGGGGTTGAAGAAGATGTGTCGAGTTAGGGATCAAACAAATGAATGCAATATGGTTTTCAGCACATAAGCGCAGTGCTTTAGGAGATATGTGCGCACTTAAATTATCACACATTAATATCTTTTTACCCTCATCTTTTTTCACGAATGGAATGAATTGGTTTTCTAACCAATCTTCAAAAATTGTTGTCTCCATCCATCCTGATTTTGAGATTGCCATTCTGGAACTCCCAGGAGCTTGATATAGCCAATCAGACCAAAGTTTCACCCCTTTAAAAATAAAAAATGGTGGTATAAGCTCACCTGCTGCATTTCCACAGAAGACTATCTTAAAACAGGATTTAGAGCTGTTTTTTATTACGTCAGGGTGCTTGCAATCTCTACGAAACAACAATTTCTTTTTCCCGGGATCATCGTGAAATCCTGACTCGTCCATATTGTATAAATTTTGTGGAGTAACGCCTTCACTTTCTTTAGAAAAATTATTAAAAAATTGTTTAACTTGCTCACGATTGACTTGGGCTCTTTTTTTTTGGGATATTATGAGATAGTTTCTCCTTCAGTAAAGGGTGTCTTTCTAAAAATAATGTGCCCCATTCATAACCAGGCATATTGTCTCTGAATTGAGGCACAATCCTGTTGTTATTATTTAGATAATCTCTAATGATAACCCTGAAATCTAACATACTCAACGGTAAACCTACATCACTCAACAATAATAAATGATTTTGAAAACTCTCTTCCTCTTCTGCGGTAAATATAACAGGTCTTCCGATATTTTTGGTATGTTTGTCATTTAAGGTAATGGCACCTATAGATGACACATTAAGGATTTTTTTCTATATCTTGCACCGTGGAAACCACAAATTACAGAATTTCTCATGACTGTTAGTGCTCAAACAGGCTTTGAGTATTTGTCTATCAGCTAGAAAGTTTTCAGCGCCCTGCGTTTACATAGATGTAATGGAACTAATTTTTTTTTAATCACTCAATTGGCCCCTATAGATGACATTCAAAATTCGTTCGGTTCCTAAAGATGACAATGACGGCACCTAAAGATGACATAGGTTTCTGTGTAAATTAAAAAGCCAAATTAGCAAAAATAATAACACATTTATTTTAATTAGAATAAAGAAATTAAAGATTTGCAACCTGGGGCACATCATAAATCTCCCTAGTTGAACTAAATTTGGTGGGCGTTTTTATTTTGCCCACAACATCGTCCCAAGCATAAAATAACCGATCCTCCCTTTGAGGTCATTTCCACAGTCGCCCATGACGCACCATGGCAGTCACGACGACTCCATCTTCTTTGACAACGATTATCCTACCAGGAAAAATCTTATTTTCGTATCTTACGGCAACATACTCCCCAACCTCCTTCCTTGGGGCTTGCAGCTCATTATCGGAGGATCCTGAGCTTTTTTCATCCCATTCACCTCCAGACAACGATTTCAAACTCCCAGCTTCGTCATTTGATGAAGCATCTGAATCTTCACTTTCTTTAGTTTTTCTAGAAGAGGTAAAGAGGCGCCTCGCGGCTTTTTTGCACTTCTCGTCCTCTTTTTCTTGCCTCTTTTTAAGCCTAGCCGCCAATCGTTTTTGTTTCTCCTCATCTTTCTGTTTCTTCAGATTTAACTTTTTCTGGTGATACTCCTGCCACTCCTGATTTTTTCCTTCGACCTTCTCTTTTTCGGTACCGTACTTTCCTTTGGCCAGAAAAGGCATCTTTTAAAAGGCGACGGGATATAAGATGATGTAGAAAGAATAGGAGTTCCCGAAGCCTCTAAAGGATCAGAAACTTCCAAAGGAGCAGGAACTTCCATTCCGTCTTCAACAGTATCTAAAGGAACAGAAACTTCTAAAGGGACAGGAATTTCCATTCCATCTTCAACAGGATCTAAAGGAGCAGAAACTTCCAAAGGAGCAGGAACTTCCATTCCGTCTTCAACAGTATCTAAAGGAACAGAAACTTCTAAAGGGACAGGAATTTCCATTCCATCTTCAACAGGATCTAAAGGAGCAGAAACTTCCAAAGGAGCAGGAATTTCCATTCCGTCTTCAACAGGATCCTCTGCATTTGCTAAAGGGGCTTCCAAAATAGTCACAGTATTTTTTTCTAATCCTGTTGTCACCTTCTTCCATAGCTCGTACAGGGAATGGTCGGTAACAGGGATGGAATCTTTATTCCCACTAAAAGAAGCATTTTTTTCTGCCCCGATTACTGTCTTCAGCCACGGAATACAATTAGGACAGCACAAATTAGTTTCTGTATTGGGTTCAGTTGCCTTCGGTGGCGCAGCAGGCCTAACAGTGACTTCCAAAGGGTTCCAGGGCACTAACCCACATTTTTTGAACCCATTTGCCAAAATTTCTGGCCGATACACATCCAATAAAAGTTGATCAAGTAAGGCGCAAAAATTACTTTTTGACACTTCACCACCGCTTAATCGATGTTGTAAAGCTTTCTCCTTCCACGAAGCTTTCAGCGTATGAAATACGGAGACGTCCATCGGTTGCAGCAAATGGGTAGCGTTGGGGTATAAGGCCACTAAAACGATGTCATTTTGGCTGCAAAGCTGACTAACCTCCATAGATAGATGGGAAACGTGGCCATCGACAAAAAATAGTACTGGCCGCACTATCTTTTCTTTTTCCAGCCATGGAATGAACTGGTTTCCAATGTACTCATAAAAAATTGCGCAGGTCATCCATCCCTGCTCACTTTTTCCTATAGCCCATGATGTGGGCACATTTACGGTGATATGGAGCGGAATACGTGTATAACGGAAGACTACCAAGGGTGGTGCAAGATCTCCATTAGCATTGCCCGTAAAGAGAACTGTAATGCACTCTTTCTCGTCATTACCAACCGCTTGATAAATATTTTTACAACCGCGTTCAGCCATAACTTTTCCGGCTTTTGGTTGCAAGAAAAATGCTGTCTCATCAGCGTTAAATACGCGTTTGGGGTTATCCAAGACGCTCGCCAATCCGTTTCCCTCTAAATACGTATAAACGTCATTCTTCCAGCCGTCTAATTGTTCGTTTGTTATTGAGCTCCTGCTCTTTGTTAAATTTTGGGCAACGCGATTAGAAATCCGAGGGTGTCTACTCATAAAACTGCCATACCACTTTTTGGATGGAACCCTATCACGGAAAATGTCCTTCCCTAATTGAGCGGCTAATCTTTGCATGCTTATTAAAAAGGTTCCTTTCGAAACGGGAAATCCTTTTCTCGCTAATTCAAGGACCCATTCCTCAATTTTCAGTTCCTCATCGGCCGTAAAAGCCGTACGGGCTCCCATTTTTCTTGATATTGGGTTGATCCCTTTGACCTTGCTCCGAAGTGTAGAGCGGGGTATTTTGTACTTCTTAGCAGCCGCGTACACAGGAACCCCACGCATCACGTCATCCAGGGCTTTTGTCATAACTTCTTCATCATACTGCAGAATTTTTGTGGGAGGCATCGTCTTCATTCACCTAAAAAAATAAAAAGTTACTTAGGGTTACGTATGCATAACCTAAAGATGACACGCTAAGAACCTAAGGATGACATAGCTGTCAGCTTAAGGTTCCTGGACAACTATTGCACCGAAATAAAAATTCTACATATTCTTTTTATTTTTTAACTTCTATAGCACTGAAGCATCAATCGGGGCTAAAAAACTTTAAGATGACAATACGATCATCTTTAGGAAACTGCGCCTCTTAAGGAACCTAAACATGACACCGCCTTTGCAACCCCAACCCATAACCAAAATGACTGTGCAAAGCGCTTTGTTGTGAAATTAAGTCTAACAATGACAAAAACTTATTTAGGTAAGTATATCATTGCGATAAATATCGAGATAAAAAAACTTAAATAGTAAATACACTTACCTTAACCAAATCACTAGAATTGAAGCGAAAAACAGCAAATGATACAACCACAAACATAAACAAGACCGTATTATGGAAACCACAATGGCGTTTGATTGTTTTGTTATGTTGTCTCCAGGGAGAAGAATCAGTGTTGTCAGTGCAACAAATAAAATTCCCGCTACTTTTTTAAAACTCTTGTTTTTTGAAAGGTTATGAGACACTGTCATCTTTAGGTGGTATGTCATCTATAGGTGCCATTACCTTAATTTATAATATAATGTTACAAGTGGTATTTTATAATGCTTCGATGCTTCCACCCTTGACATGGCACCTGACCAAATTTTACTGAGTGCCTCTTCCAATTGCTCCGGAGTATAGTTGCTTTTAGTTCCATATTTTCTAACACGAGGCTTTATTTGAGAGGATTTTCGAGGCCTTTAAATAAAAAACAATTATGTTCATAAGATTTTAACTTTTGGTAGCAAAACATTAAAAGTTACCCTATCAAAAAAAAAATGTTTCAGGGTAACATTGAACCGTTCAATGTTACCCAAAAATTGTAATTATTTTTAGTATCAAACGATAATCACATATAAGTGTAAATGAGTTAATAAATTATATGTTAATTGACGAAATTTTAAGTAAAAACTATGGCAGTAATGTTAAACACAAAACTTACCCCTTCAGCTACGATATCTTTAAAAACAACTTATTTGAAATTCACCAACAAACTTCTTTGCAGACAGACCTTGTTTTCTTAGACGCGCCAAAATACAAACTGACATTGACAGGAGCTATTTTTTTGTTAAAGATAGTCTATACATTACGCCGTTCCGTTTTACGCGATACTTCCCTACTTGGATATTCTGGTACAGTTGTAAAAAAATATTTAATTGTTAGTAGGGTTTTATTCAAAGTTACATTGAAATTCAAAGTTACCCAAGTTGACTGTAACCTTGCTTGTTTTAAGGTTGTTAAGCACTAACTGTGGAGCTTTGCGCTTTTTGTCCAGGATGTCGACAGGACATAGAAATCTAATATAGACAACAATATTGAACAATCTACTAAATAATTTATCAGTTCTTTCCATAAATTGTGATTTAACAAAGGACTCACAATGTGATGAGCAAATAAAGGAATTTGCTGCCCCAAAATCTATATTAGTTATAACTACACATAACCTGTTAATTTATTTTGCAATAATGTATTACAGTTGCTGTTTGTGTATCTCCTAGTCATGTGAAATAAATAAAATATTTCATTTTCTTAATTTTTTTCTAGACCGTATACATCATTATATAAAACAGTTTTTTGGCGAACTGGCCATTAGTTTGATTAAAGGTCGCTGCATACAGGACGGATTCAGCACGTGCACGGGACAGAGACAGAACGTGGTTGTATTTCTACATATATGGATATATGTGGATTTTTCATTTGTAGAATTCAACGGAGCGACTGCGCATACGCAGGGGAAGTCCTTACTCTTTACGAGGGCTGCACTAAAAGTATCGGGAATAGAATATTTCCACTGTTCCTGCCATATTTATTTTTTTTAATTGAAAAGTCCTTGGTTTTAAAAATTGAATACCATTTATTTATTTAAAAAACGATTCTCGGTCTTGTCACAAGGTTTTGTCCAGCTTGTTTAGTCGTTGAGAAAATTGAATTGACTCGAGAAAATTCAAGAGCGATGATTTATTATGACTTTCGAAGTTGTTTAACACAAAAACAGTGTGTTGACCGGATGATTTCTGCATTTGGTGATGAAGCCCCATCCAAAACCACAATTTATCGCTGGTTTGGTGAATTTCAACGTGGACGTGTCAAGCTCAGTGATGATCCCCGTCAAGGTCGTCCAAAAACTGCAGTCACCCAAGAAAACGTTGATGCTGTGCGTAAGCTGATTGAGGAAGATCGACATGTGACATAGCGCGAAATTCAGGCAACTTTAGACATTGGCATGAGTCAAATACAAATAATCTTGCATGAACAATTAGGTGTAAAAAAGTTGTTTTCCCGATGGATACCGCATTCGCTCTGTGAAGAGCAAAAAGCGGCTCCCGTTACTTGGTGCGTCAAAACTCTCGAAAGATTCCACGCAGGATCCTCAAATGTTGTATACAACATCGTATCAGGTGACGAATCCTGGATATACGCGTACGAACCCGAAACAAAAAACCAGTCACGAGTTTGGGTGTTCGAAAATGAGTTAAAGCCAACAAAAATTGTTCGTTCACGGAGTGTTGCAAAAAAAATGGTGGCCACGTTTGTCTCCAAAACCCGCCATGTTACGACTATTCCTCTTGAGGGACAAAGAACGGTTAATGCAAAATGGTATGCTAGCATTTGTTTGCTACAGGTCGTTTCTGAACTCCGTAAAGAGAACTGCAACCGCCGCATCATCCTCCATCACGACAATGCGAGTTCTCACACCGCACACAGAACAAAAGAGTTTTTAGAGCAAGAAAACATAGAATTATTAGACCATCCGCCGTACAGCCCCGACCTAAGCCCTAATGATTTCTATACTTTCCCTAAAATAAAGAATAAATTGCGTGGACAGAGATTTTCATCACCTGAAGAAACTGTGGACGCCTACAAAACGGCCATTTTGGAGACCCCAACTTCCGAATGGAATGGTTGCTTCAATGATTGGTTCCATCGTATGGAAAAATGTGTCAAATTTCGCGGAGAATACTTCGAAAAGCAATAAATACATTTTTAAATAGTAATGTTGTGTCATTTCCTTGATTCCCGAAATTTTCAGTGCCGCCCTCGTACTCTGTGGCGGAACCATGGACGGGAGGTAGCGCGCGTGTGGCGGGAAAAGGTAAACATCGTTGCCGACGATGTTTTTCCCGTCCCGTTCATGCCATGTCTTGTCCGTGCATCCGTAACGTATGCATTTTCACGTACATTTTCTATGAAACGTATGCAGCGACCTGTAAGCACCCAAGTAGTGATAGGGCCCCACAAATTCACGGTCCGCCCCTGCTAGTAATAACTCAAAATAATAGAAATCCACAGTTGCCAACCCGCCTGTCAATTCTGGCCTCTATGACACATATCCCCCTTTTGTAGCAATCTGTGGGGAAGGCATAATTTTGATAGACTAACGAGTGAATGAATCTTCGATTAAAACTCTAATGTAGAAGAAAGCTGTCTATTTATATTTAAAGAACATAGATAAATATATATGTAGCAAGCTAGTGAAAGAATGAATTCAAATATTTACAGTATTTATTGTCATAAGATTATCAAAAAAACCGAACACTTGAAAAAAAAAGACTATTAAATGAAACTTATATATTCGATGGAATTTTTTTTTATGTACTAAATGGAGTCCCACATATATGCAATAAATGAAACCACATACTTGTTATCGCCTTTGCTGACGATATACAAAAAATGAACGTAATCGGTCCAGTAATTAGGTCAAAAAGTAGAGTTTTAATTTTAAGCAAATTTGAACTCTCTATAGAATTGGGTCACTAAGTCAATGAATCCTTGAACATTAAAAAGCGACGTTGCCACGCAAACTATTGCGACGTATCGACAGCGGTGTCTTTTGGCGGCGTCCATAAACAAGCGGCACGCAGCACGGGGCGTTCTTCAAAGGCAACGGCGCAAGTGCGCGCGCGCCTTTGTCGTAGAGTAGGACACCTGTTATTGACCATTAGTTTCTTTCAAAGGGAGTAATAATCGATAAACAAAAAAATATTTAGCTTTAAACACTTAGGCCATGGTTTTTTTTTTTTTTTAGATATATCGTGTTGTTATGATAATTCTAAAAACACTACGACCTAAGTATTTATAGCTAAACTGTAAAGCTTTTTTGTTTTAAGTGTGTTCTTGTAGATTTAGAGATAATAAATTATTTTGACATGATAAAAAATCATTTGTTTTTGCATATGACTTTTTAATATCTACTTACCCGTTTCCTAGGAAGTCACAAAACGTTAGTTTCGTAAGTTCAATTGTACAAAAATAAACTTATTTTAACAATCAATAACTTGTCGATTGTTATCAAATTAAAAATCAAAATTACTTGTATTCAAATATAGTAAGTAAGTGTAAACAAAAAAGTATCGATAAACGATTGTACGTGCAAACAATTGCACCTTGTGGCCGCCCTATTTATTACTTTTCACCATTTTGGAATTTGGAAGTTTGGCTTTCAGTTCACCGCAATTCTTCCAGAATACAGGTGCGTTTCCCGGCTTACGCGCATTGCTTCAAGTGATTTTTTTTTCGTAAGATAAATACAATTATGCAAACAATTTTTTTTACGGTGAAATATACACTTATTAGTTAATTGACTTTGTGTGTGTAAATAGTGTTTTTAAGTACGTTTATTTTTTTACTGTGATATTGACACTACTTGACTTTTGTGTGTACGTGTTGATGGTGGAAGATGCCAAGACAACAGCATTTTTACAGTGCGGCAAAGTATACAGACATGGTTTTATTGTATGGCGAATGCCGCCAAAATTCAGCGTTAACTCTGCGTACTTATCGTGAGAGATACGGCGCAAATCGCGTCTAGCGTATTAGCGTCCGGACAATC